GGTGTATTTTTTCCGCCATACAAGGGAGTGCGCGCCCCCTAGCAGAATTCGCTGATACTGGTCAAGATAATATTTTTTTTTATATTACATTAGGATATTGTCTATGAGGATGAATTTTCAATATATTTCTCTTTTATTTAAATAGCTGCATTTTGAACTTTTTTTTTTGCAGCTTCCAGTGGGAGAGAGAGGGGGTGCTATCTCTGCGCCCCCCGGCTGGATCCGCTAGTGTCTTGGATATTAAGACACCAAAAGAATGCCAAGAAGTCAGTCTGGAGGCAGCTTTCGTTGATATTGCGCTTACGTACTGGACGTCTTTCCCCACCATCTCACCAACTCCAGGTTCAAATTCTCCTTGCGCCAGCCTAGTGCCATTTTCTGACTATTTAGCATATCAAAAGTCATCGATATCGATTTCCCCGAAGATTGACTGCTTTACATCAGACTAAGGTAACCTCGTTGGGAGTAGAGCTATCTACCTCTCACATGGATTTTCTTTTCTCCACCGTCACAAAAGTCATTAAAATTAATTTAAGTTTTTTTAAAGGTTTTCTGGGCATTAAATTGATTTTAATTTAATTTTTTTTTCTCTTATAATGAATCTATAATATCTATTTATTTCTAATGGTTAATTTATTTTTATTTTCACTGAATATTATATTCTATATTTGGTTTTATTTTAGTGCATTTGTATACTCTTCTTTCATTTTGTTTTTAACCTTTATATGTATATTTATATCAAAATGGGGATTATTTATTTATTTTCCATTTTGATTAATTCAATATTGATATATAATATTTTGTTCTAAATGCATTTTCATGTTTTACAGATCTCATTTTTTACTCATAATTTTTAACCTTCTTTCTTTATTTAATTCGTATTTTCCCGATCTTTGAGGAAACTCAATGGTTAAAGAATTGTATTTTAATTTCGAAATACCCCTGGCCCTAACACATTGAATAGAAACAATTTCAAGTTTAGAAATAAACATCAGTACACATATCAATAATTTTTAAAACAATTTTTCTCCTCCCCCCCTCCCCCAAACACAAATGAAGTTTTGTGATGACAGTTCACAGTTGAAGCCTTACATTTATCAGTTAATGTGATAGTCAATGCAGCGAAAAATTATATACATACCGTCGAATTTGTGCAATGATAAACTAAAATTCAATTCAGTGCCTCAATTTATGGTTTGAATAACGCAATTTCCAGACATATTTGATACGATATGTGCATTTGTTTAGTCTCAGTCACTAAATTTGTTCCACATGTCCTCATTAAAAAGTGTTATAAAATTTACAAGTTTCATCATTTTCCCCTCATTCCCTTTTATGATATTCAAATCTCGTTGAAAATGAATTTTGGCCGTTTTCGAATATTCATATATAGCATTTTCAACCTTTTCCAAATCAAATTCAACCTGTGGCTCCACCAAACTTTCAAATTCCTCTCGCATACAATCCTTACAATCCAAAATCCTTCGTAAAATCCTCAATGCTCCTTACTTTAATACAAATAAAATTATCCATAATGACCATAATGTTCCTTATGTATCAGATTTGGCCCAATCCAGATATCTGTCCTTCCATAATAAACTTCATAACCATTCCAACCCTCTTGTCTCTAACCTTGCTTCCTATTCGATTCCTGATAACCCTCCGAGGCGTGTGAAAAGAAGATGGCCACGGGATCTTGTAATATAGACATATTATTAGAGTGCTACCAGTGGGTAGTTTCTCAACATGTGTTCCATGTCATTATATACATGTGCGAATTTACCAGATGTATTTTTTGTATACAGTTGTAAATATCATATAAATAAATAAATAAATTTAAAAAAATTCAACTTTTTCCAAGTCAAATTGAACCTTTTACATTTCAAATAAAACGTTTTCTAATTAAAATTGAATCTTCTCCATTTTTTTCGAAATAATAGCCACTTCCAATATTATCGAAGACATAGCTTTAGAAAAAAAATAATAAATGTGATACGCGGCTGCATATCCATTTATTTTTACTTTTTAGATTTTTACGGTATAATATTTCCATGTTATGTTCAGTTTTGGTTTATTATTTTAAATAATGAAACATTGTAATCGAACAAAAAATTAAAAAACTTAACCCCCTCTCAACATTTGAGGTTTTACGTTACGGAAAAAACGAAAAACGAATAAAATTTTTTTTTCTGTCCTCCGTCAGGGCATTTTCTCCGAAACCCTTGAACCGATTTTTTCAAATTTGTATTTAAAATCAGAGGTCACCCGAGGATGATCCTCCTTCATCGACATTACTATCCGCCTTTTACTTTCAAAATGGCTGCCTAGAAACTTCCGTTGCTGTAGACTGCAGCGCCCAAAAGAATCTACCAATTTCAGTGAAACTTGGCTAAAGACTTCTTCTTCAATTTATTTATATAACACACTTCAACGAAAGAAGCTGAAAAAAAGTTACGAGAGATGGTAAAATTAGATTCCGATTAACTCAAAAAGTACTTACTTTCTTGTCGATATTGTGATAAGATGTTTCAAAGGTATTTAAATTTCTTAAAACAACGTTAAAATCGGACAATTAGGAGCAAATACATGGTCTCTAGATGTTTTTTTATGTACTACTGCAAATCCTTTGTTTTGGATTTGGATTTTTGAATGAGTTACTGAAGTAATGTTATTTTTTTTTTTTATCAAATTACTAATAATGAAAACAAATTTTTAGGAAAAAAATTGGGATTAACTTTTCATTACTTTTAATTTGTCACTACAAAAGTAATGTTACTTTAGATGTACACTTGTTGGGAAATAATAATCCATTGTGAAATAATTTGGAGTGTTTTTTTTTAGTCAAATTCAACCTTTTCCAAATCAAATTAAACTTTTTCCGAGTCAAATTCAACCTTTTACATTTCAAATTAAACCATTTACAATTCAAATTCAACCTTTTGCATTTCAAATCAAAGTTTCGATTTTTTGTAAATTTTTAATTTTTTTTAAAAATAAGGGTCATTTTCCTATATGAGGGTCTATTTTTTCAAAATACTATCGATTTTGTATTAAACTTTCGGATATCGATTTATAGTACCTATTCGGATTTATTCGATATAAGGGCCCAGTATTATGTTGTCGTGTGCTTACTTTTTGAAAATAATCTCCATTTTAAGATTACGCCGCCGCGCTTAGACTTATTGAAGTTTTCTGGATATAAGGGATATGTCATTTTGAAAATTACATACATTTTAAGATTACGCCAATGCATTTCGAATCATTTAAGTTTCTTGTTTTGTTTTTTTCATAAAAGGGCATGCTTTTATGTTTCCGGAGCCGTTGATATAGTAGTTGCGTAATCTTAAAATGGAGGTAATTTTCAAAATATACGGCTTCGGAAACACAAGAATACACCCTTTTATGAAAAAAACAAAACAAGAAACTTAAATGATTCGAAATGCATTGGCGTGATCTTAAAATGTATGTCATTTTCAAAATCTACAGCGCCGGAAAAATAAGAATACACCCTTATATGGAATAAATCCGAAACACTTAAATAAATGCAACGTTATCATAAAATGGAGGTTATTTTCAAAAACTATGAATATGATAATTGACCCATACATCGAAAAAATTAAATAAATAAAAAAAGGTTGAATTTGAAATGGAAAAGGTTAAATTAGAAATGGAAAAGGTTGAATTTGACTTGGAAAAAGTTTAATTTGACTTGGAAAAGGTTGAAATTGACTTTGAGATGCTATATAAAAAAGAACAAGGTTTCCTAGATTGAAATTCCATCAGCAAGTAGTAAACTGAAAGGACTACATATGAAAAAAAAATAAACATGAGACTCTTTCAATGTTTCATTATTACAGTATTGCTGCACTAAATGTCTATTTTTATGTTAATTTTAATTTTATAGTTATAAATTTGTGTAATAACTTTCTTCACTATTTATGAGATATATTGTGAGGACAAAAAATTTAGTGCAAAATATAATAATTTTAGTTTTTGTTTTGTTTTGATATATGCAGAAATGCCGCAGTTAGAATAGGCCGGATATGCTGGTACTGACTCTAAATAGGCAGCCATATTTTTTGCGCTATAACTAATAGAACCAGTTGAATCTCAATAATCAAATTCGTTCATTCATTCCTATAATTGTAAAGTATAAACTGTATCAATTTCATAATTTTTCACTCAGTCCCTTTTGTGATATATATCATAAAAAATCGCCGAAAACTACTTTTGAGCGTTTTTGAAAATTCATTATTAAATAAGGACAAGCTTGTCAAAATTGAAATTTGATCAGCAAGAAATATATATATGAAGAAAAAAAATTAAAGTTGTGACTTTTTTCTTTATTACACTTTTGTAAACCTAAAAGTTACTTTTTTTTTTGTTGATTTTCATGATTTTTTTAATCCACTTTCATTTCTTTTTAGGTGATGTATTGTTCAACAGAAATGTAGAAAAAATGTTTCAGTTTTAACTATTTCAGTTTTTATTTTGGCTATATATCTACAAAATACCCAGAGTCATGACATGAAAATCAAAATGACAGGCATTTTCCCAAAACAGGTTTTCGGTCGCAAAAAAAAAAATTAAAATGGCTGTCGAGAAAAAATTGTGAGCCTCAAAATTTTTTTAACTACGATTTGAACTCTCAAATAAATATGGAATAATTGTTTAAAAAAATTATAAAAATCGAAAGTGTCAAGCAACAAATTTAGTTCAAATTGGTTGATTTCGAATGGATTGACCCCGGAGCAAAAGGAATTCCAATTAAATAATTCAAAAGCTTTTAGGTTATTTATTCAGAAGCTTATGCTAACATTTCTCATTTGAACCAATTAATAACGCTCTGAAGGACGAAGTCACGTCAATAAATTTTATGTTTCATTGTTTGTTTCTTTTAAGGATATAAGAAAAATATATTTCAAATACATGGTAATTGTATTTCTCATGGTCATACATTTGAATTTGAGATTGGATTATATATATATATATATATATGTGTATAGTCTGTTACTAGTTCTTTTAAGTTGGATCCTGATTGTGAAGTTTATTTTTTTATATTTATTTTGATACCAAATTTTTTTTAGTTAAATTAGTGCAAGATAACAATCTACTATTTTATAAGTGATTAGCAGAAATATACTTATCACCTGAAGGTAAGCCGAATACTGTGAAATCAGAATTACACTGTAAGAGATAAGACATGCCTACCCCGTTATAATTTTTTGAGTCGGTTATCTCTATATTCTATCTCCAAGTAAGATAACGATTGCCAATGATTTTTTTATCATTCATTTAATTTTAAATTTCCATGAACGTTAGGTAATATTTTTCTTAACAGACGTTTCTGTTTTAACAATTTATCCCGCACCATACAGCGTTTTAAAAAAGTCCCCATTTTCGGAAAAAGTGCACAAGCTAAGGAACGACAGAAGAAGGGGAAGAGAATATACGATTTTCGACGTTCATGTGGCTACTTCCCCAAGATATGAGTATATGTGTTATATTATTATTGTTAATTTCATAATGTTAAACTTAAATAATACCGAAAAAATGTTCGCATGTCTTTTTAATAAGATATCTTTATTTAAAAAAAACTATATTGATTAGGATAAGTTTAATTTTGTCATCACCAAATTAACTACATTTGCTACTTCCTTTACCAAAATATTGTCACCTTCAATAAGCTTTATAGCATTTTGAAAAATAGTTGTTTTATTGTGTACAAACTGCTGGCACAAAACATTTAACTCTTAAAAACTGTGTTATTATTGACGTCATAAACCAGACGTTAAATATACCATCGAATTATTCGCTCTCAAAAATACGCCTTCAGAACTAAATTTTCTAATCTATTTCAGCTGAATACTGTGTTACCTGATGAACATTTGCAACAGGTTATTATTATGTAAAATTAATTATTGTAACAACAAATTGGACAATCATCTTCTCTTTCCACTTCCGGTCAAAAGCTGTCTCACTTTACCAATGTTAAAATCTGGTCACCTTACCTTTGTGTGATCTTAATCAAACGTGCTTTATAGAAATGTCGCGAACCTGGCAATATGCAGGAAAGTACAGTAGATAAATCAAATTTGAAAATTCGACTGAGGGATGATATTTAAAAATCTTCCGATATTTAAGAATATCCCGCTGCTTTATAAGATTTTAATTTTCCGATAGCTACTTCAATTCCTCTATACTCGGTCCTTCTATTATCGGTTCAGCAGTTTAGTGCCCAGAATGAGGACACAGATGATAATCTCCCGTATTTAAAATATTGTCGAAATATTTCTTAAACTTATTTAATATGTCTACTGGATCGGTCAGAATATTGTTATTTACATCCCTAATTCCAGACGTCAGGGGCCCTAAACATTTACGTGATCATTTTATATTTTTGTACATGTCTATTATGTTATTTTTGATTCTATTAATTTCTATCCCTATTACTTTGTTTTTAAGATACTCCTTTTTTTTTATTTTTGATCAATTTTGTCGTTTTATTCTTTGAGATTCGGAAGTACTCCAGATTGTCCTCGCTAGGATTATTTAGAGCTTTTAATTTAGCGGCTTTTCTTTTTTCGCACTTGTTTAAGCAATCTTCATCAAATCCACGGTTAATTATTCTTTTTCCTAGAAACCGACCGTTTTAATATTATCTCTGATCTCCACCCATAACTTGTCAATATCCTCGCGGTCCTCGTTAGAAGGTTCTCTAAATCATCAAACCTATTCTTAACGTCTAGCTCGAATTGAGTTCTAATTGATGGATTTTTTAATTTCCCTAGATTAAAATTCTTGAAATCAAAACGGTTTTCTTTTATTTTTTTTATGTTGAGTATTTGTCGAAGTTTCGCTTTTACTAATTCATGATCCGACCCACATTCTACTCCGCGATGAGACCGTACATTAATTATACTGCTTTGCCAGTATGCGACATGTGCATGCCTAAGTTGTATCGTGTTTGTGAATCCGGTTATGTCCAGATATATTTATGAATATCCTTATGTTTAAACGTAGTACTTTTAATTATCATGTTTTTCGAGATGGCAAAGTTTATCAGACGGATTCCATTATCATTACTATATTCGTGCAAACATATAGATACTACTATATTTATTTCCTACTGTTTATTCGGTTACCTTACTCAAGTGTAAGGCACATAACTAATAAATAAAGCCAAACACGAAGTTAAGAGGACTTAACATTTCTTGTTAGTATATATATTTATGAATATTGACATAATTCAATATCTTATTATTACTAAAATAGTTTGTAAATTGGAGTATATATATATATATATATATATATATATATATATATATATATATATATATAATATTTCTGCAAATATAAAGCAAGTGGTTTATCTGAATGGGAAACCGAAACCGGTTGGGGAGCTAAGTATTTCACCTACAAACGAAAACCTTCAACCAATATGTTTGCGAAATGAATATATTTTTTTATACACGGACACGAGAAAGTGTCTCAACACATTTGTGAAATGTTGTTGTTTATTAATAAACTTACGATAGAGATATTTTTGGGGTTCATTGCTGAAATGAAGAATTTCGAAAATCATTACATAATTCCTCTTTTATGTGTAGAGGAATGCCTATATATGTAGATTTGGGGCACTACTGAAAACCTAAGACAATTTTCACATTTCAAGAATTAAGAAACAGCGAACTTTTTTATAGCACGATTCTGCAACTGATTTTTAATTATCAGCTGTATACCTTAGGAATTATTACAAATTAAAAAATACTTGTTCTTAATAATGTAATATTAGTGCAAATAAATACACCCTTTAAAAAAAGTTTTTAATTCACAAATTATATTAAAGGAAATAAAAATTGTTTTTACGATTGCTTGCGATAAGAGAAGAAATAATGCAAAGCGTATAAAAAAAAAATCTGATAAGTTTGAAAACAGTCGTCAATAATCTATTGAATAATGACTATTTGAGTGAATTAAAAAATATATTAGGCACCTTTTGTTACTGAACAAATTATAAGACATTTATAATAAAACAATTTTATTTCTTTGATATTTTTGAAAACAAAAAAAAAACATTTTTCCATTATATAATATACTTCATTTTTGAACGTAATAAAAAAAAATATATGAAAAAGTATAAGCTAAAAGACCTAACAATTTGGAATCACATAAAAAATATTTAATAAAAAATAAATAAATTGTATAACAGTTAAAAAAATGGTATACAAATAGTAAGATCACAATATACAGAATATTCTTTTAATCATACATGGATATATAAACACCAATATAAATGTATCATTAGATTTATAAAGATACAATAAAAATTCTTTTCAGCAAAAAGTGAAAAAATAATATGAATTTTTTTCTGCTAGTTGGGAAATAGTTCCTCAAATATTTATTTCGTATTTATTTATAATTTATTAGTTTTCCTCTGAAGGAGAAGGGTAGCTGAATGGGTAAGGCACTGACTTCCAAATCCCGAAGCCCTGGGTTCGAATCCGGCTGATGGCAGATAATTATTTACTCTGTTACATCAGCCATGGATCGATCCTGATGGTGGGAGACACTACTGGGGCAAATCCTGCCTATATAAAGTGAATACTCTTAATAGAATAATTAATTGAGGGTGGGAACCTGACAATTGATCGTGATCTCGTTTCGATTATCTCGCTGCAAAAAACCTTGACCTTAATAAATTAGTATTTCCTTACAAAACCTTCCTTGGATGAATTTATACAACTTTTATAGTTTTCATCTGCATTTTAATGTAGGCAATTTTATATATTTAATCATGACCTCACTAAACTGCAATTATCAGTGAATTAATTATACAATTTACATTAATCTTTCGAAATATAATCTATATCAGTTTATTACAAATGTTTTTCATTGATAAATAAAAAAAGTTGATAAAAAAAAAATTGAATATAAAAATCCTCAATGCTCCCTACTTTGTTACAAATAAAACCATCCATAATGACCTTAATGTTCCTTTTGTTTCAGATCTGGCCCAATCCTACCTTCCATAATAAACTTCAGAATCATCCCAACCCTCTCGTTTCTAACCTTGCTTCCTCTTCAATTCCTGATAACCCTCCGAGGCGTCTGAAAAGAAGATGGCCCCGTGATCTCCTAATGTAAATATATCATTACAGTGCTACCATTGGGTAGTTACCCAGCAAGTGTTTTTCATGTTATTATATACATTATGTTCTAATTTACTAGATGTATTTATTTAATACAGTTGTAAATGTCTTTAAAAAAAAAAAAAAAAAAAAGAATATAAAAACACACGAAAGAAAGTTTATAGGAAAGGAAACTTTGAATAATCGAAGTTTCGGTAGGCTGCTTTCGAATAATTGTAGTTATACAATAGAGAAGACCGAAAAATGTCGAATAATTGTGGTTATACAATAGAGAAGGCCGAAAAATGTCGAATAATTGTGGTTATACAATAGAGAAGGCCGAAAAATGTTTGTTTCAAATCTCAATACTACGGAAAAGGTACGGGTTAGGGAGATAAAAAAAGGAGGACATATTTTTCAATTTTTTTTTTACGACCTTCAAAGCTTTGAGCGACCTAAATGTATCAAATTTGGAATTTTTTTTTTTAATTAGGAGTTTGCACTAATAGTAGGTCACCAATAACTTAAAGTGCTTCTACGGCCTCTTTCCATAATGTCCTATCTAAGGTCCATTCTTCCCGTAGACCATGATCTACTTCCTCTACTTTTTCCTCTACTTCGTTATCAGAGGTCTTGCTTGGTGTTCCTCGTCTTCTTCGTTTCCTAGTTTTCCATGAGTGGACTTCTTTGGGCAATCTTCTTTCAGGCATTCTTTTCAAATTTCCATTCCACCCTAGGCGTTTTTTCTCAATCTATTTCCGAATGGTTCTTTTAGCATCCCTCTTTTCCCTATCAGCTTTTGACCATGTGAAGATCAATATCCTTTGAAGACTATTATAGCTATTAGGTTCGATTGGAGTAGAACATGGATACTATTGCCGCCATGAAGCGGCTGTAGGTCAATGAAGTTTGTCCTCTCAGTCCATCAGGTATAGCTCCGCCCGCTAACACGGCGTCGCGTTAAGATGCAATTTTCAATAATAACCTATTACAGAGAAAATAAAATTATTTTAATAAAAATAAAACACTTCCCTCGCTTACAGTATGCAAGTCTGATTTTTATTTTCTGAGAAATCTTGATCCATATCTTCAATAAAACTCGTTATTATTTGATTTTCGACCCTATTTTTTCCAATTCATCATAATTATAAAATATAAGTATTGTCAATTATTTAATTTTTTTTTAAGAATTAATAATATTTTCTATGATATTTTACAGATCATCATGTTGGGGCTTATAACATCCTTAGTATGCCTCGTGTTTGTAGCAGCGTACATATTTTTGAAAAGACGCTACAGTTACTGGAAGAAGCTTGGAGTCCCAGGACCAGAACCAACAATGATTATTGGTAACTTGAAAGATTTATTGAGCCTCAAGTTCTCGGAGCCGGACATGATGCACGAGTGGTACAAGAAGTACAGAAACGAGCCCTACATAGGATATTACAAATTCTGGAAGCCGACATTGTTCGTTATCGATCCAGAACTGGTCAAAGCTATTACTGAAACCGATTGTAATCATTTCATAGATCGTCCAACATTTATCACTAGTGCAGAAAGCGACGCTGTTTTGGATTCCTTATTCAACATGAGTGGGGCGCGATGGAAAGCAAAACGGCAGTTATTTGCAAAATTATTCAATCCGAAACAATTGAGGGAACTATCGAACTTATTGGAGGGACTCAACGATTCTTTGGTGAATCAGTTCGAAGAACAGCGCAAGTTGGGCAATGAGGTTGATATGATCGTGGTAATGGAACGACATATTTTAAAACTCATCACTGCCTTTTTATACAGCATTGATACGTCCCAGAATCTAGATAGGCAATCCAAGTTATCGGAATTATCTGAAAACTTCGCCCGTCCTTCTAGCTCTACCGTACGCAAATTTATATTCTACGAAGTTTTCCCAAGACTCCACATTAAATTGAAACGGGCAGCCTTTCCTCGTTTCTTTTGGGACTTTTTTTCTGCTTTCACTAATGACCTCTTCAGCACGAGAAATAACACGAAAATAGATCGTGATGATTTGGTCACTCTTATTGAAAAAACGCAACAAGAAGGAATTCCAGAAGGTGACAGTGAGTATTATTTCCTAATTATGTATTTGAAAAGATGTTATTTTCCAACAAAACCTGATAACTAATTGGTAGCATTTAGCAGAAAAATAGAATTCACAAAGTATGCAAAAATAATTTCCACTTTTGAACGATTTTATTGCTTACAATTTCCGAAATTAAAGTACCGGGATGATGGAAAATGGAAAATCAATGTTAAAATAAATAGCAATGAATACAAAATGCGACGTTTTTATTTAAAAAAAAAAGAACAAAACCACATTAAAGTTAATTTTTGAACAATTTATTGATATGATGTGGAAAAAAAATTAGATTCGTGATAAGAAAACAAATTATTAAAATTTATTGGTAAACTTACAGATTTAAATTTACTTATAACAATGTGGATAGATTTCCTCTATTATTTCTATCCAATTCATTGTTGTTGTTTTTAGAACCACTTGGGTGTATTATTTTCAATAATCGACCTTTGGATGAAGCCTAACTATGAATTTAATTAAACGAATTGTAATAAAAAAGGTGAAATTTAACGATTAAACATTTATTTTTCAATATTTACACATAATAATAAAGAAATAAAAAAATGAAACCAATTTTTACAATTACAATAAATAAAATAAAATAATAACTTCTATATAAACGAAAATAGTAATATGCTTAATATAACGACAGTAAAACAATCAAGAAATATTCAATAAAAAAATGATGTTAGCTTACGAAAATAAAATAGAGAAATGATACGACTGGCCCAATACTAAAATCAAAAATAAAGACTAAAACAAATATTAACAGCCCGATAATAAAATATGTACAAAAATAAGGGAAGTTTTCAACTAGCAATCTTCATTGGTTACGATATTGCACAAAACTAAAAAAATAATATTGAATACTTATTAGTTGACAGTTGTAATATTAAGGAAGGAGATGATCCGGAGTGGCGGTCATAAATAGACTAAATAGTGACAAAACTATTACAAATAGACTAAATAGTGACAAAACTATTACAAATAGACTAAATAGTGACAAAACTATTACAAATAGACTAAATAGTGACAAAACTATTACAAATAGACTAAATAGTGACAAAACTATTACAAATAGACTAAATAGTGACAAAACTATTACAAATAGACTAAATAGTGACAAAACTATTACAAATAGACTAAATAGTGACAAAACTATTACAAATAGACTAAATAGTGACAAAACTATTACAAATAGACTAAATAGTGACAAAACTATTACAAATAGACTAAATAGTGACAAAACTATTACAAATAGACTAAATAGTGACAAAACTATTACAAATAGACTAAATAGTGACAAAACTATTACAAATAGACTAAATAGTGACAAAACTATTACAAATAGACTAAATAGTGACAAAACTATTACAAATAGACTAAATAGTGACAAAACTATTTAGTCTATTTATGACCGCCTACCTCTTTCCTTAAAAAAAAATAATAAATTGGTACAACTTTACGTGACGCAAGCAGGTGACGTTCTTAATGGTGGAGGAACCGCTGGCACTCCAATTCTTATACAGCTCCTTGATGTCGATTTATTATTCATATGTGCTCTAATCGATCTGCAAGTGGGCAGTATAACAGATTGTGTATTGCGAAGTCCACTCTAAGGCTTAGGACTTGAACCTAGCACATGTTTATAGCTAAGGCTACAATCCATAACAATTTAAGTATAAACTAGTTTATCGAATATAAACAATGTAAGCTAAGGGCCTATGAATATATATATATATATATATAATTATTAATTGATTTCATTTTTATGGAATTAACCAAATAAACAATTAATCGAAATATTGTTTAAATAAAAAAAAATAAAATAAATTAACACTGTGGCGTTAACAGTAACCCACCAAGAAAAAAATAAAAATTAACCCCCCTTCTCCACAAAATTTGAGGTTTTACGTTTTAAGATACGTAGAATATGCCATGCCATACGCAATTGTATTTATATCTTCAATAACCTGTCAGGTATGAGTCAGTGAAATGAACACTAGACCTATTCACGGATGACCGAAATTGTTATAAATAAACAATTATTTACCAAACATTTAAATTATGTGTACATAAAAAGTGTTGACTAAATGAGAATTTAAGGTGTTTCTTCCGAATCAAAATACCAAGACCAAGCAAATCCACCAATCCACCTCCTTCAGTCCTGTATTCGGCGCCCTTTACTGGAATGGAATGAAAATATGTATTTATTGTTAAAATATTATAATATAGAAGATAGTATTTATTGGTGCCATGAGGTCGATTAAAGGATTTGCTTGGATACAATTTTTATCTTTTTTGTTTAAGTAAAATTGTAATGATTATTATTTGTTTTTTTACGTTATGGTTACTTATCTTATTTCACTGTTATTATTTATATTACTAACTAATACAAATATGTAAACAAACCAGTCTTTAAAGAAAAGCACTGTGTATTAATATTATTTTTAATTCATTAAAGGAATTGGACACCATGAAGCTGTCGGCCATGTGTTCGGTTTCTTCATTGCAGGCCATCATACGACGATGACTTCTGTAAGCCACATTATTTATCAGCTAAGTCTTCACCCCCAGATCCAGGAGAAACTTCGAACAGAAGTTGACAGTGTCCTCAAAGGCAAAGATACTATTAATTATGATTCTACAAGGGAGATGAATTATCTAGAAGCAGTTATTAACGGTATTATGTTTTAAAATTGTATTTGAAAATTAGTTAATAAATATTTATTAATATATACAGGTCTTATAAGTATAGGGTCTTGGCCGTCTTGATTAAATTAAGGTTAAAGGATCCGTCTTATACCAAACTATCAACTTATATATCTACTGTCTTCTATTTTTGTAGAATAACAAAATACTTACAAAATAACCGAAAATATTACTGCCTAAAAACATCAACCAATTTTAAACAGTATATACATTCCCAACAGTTGCAATACATTCACGATAAAAAACAAAAAAAATCATCTCGAGAATACAAATATATTATTAAATTAAATTTCAAGACTGGAGAGGTTTTTTTTGGGAAGCCGTAAGATTGAGGGATTGGAATGAAGAAGATATTAGATGGTAGGGAATTCCTCAACCACAAGAAGAAATATTTCAATATGAATGTAAAAAAAGGAAGGGATGTTACCGTCCCCATGGTGAGGATGCGAAGTTCTTCATGTTCTGATGTGACATAATCTGTATCCATTAATTTTTAACCATGGAGAATCTCACTGTTATACGGTGGTATTTCGAATTATAGATACCTTTTTAAGTTATGGAATGACAGCCATTGTAATCTTGAGATATAAGCGAGATGACTAAAGATTATACATTTTTTCTTCCAAAACATCCCATTACAAAAATTATGTGTAACAAATTTTACCACAATTATACTTAACAGTGTTCGATTAACATAATGGATGGTAATTTCAAAATAACTAGTTTTGAGACATTTATTTAAGTTGAAGGTTTCATATTTATCCAACATTTTGTTAAATCAGTAACAGAGATGAAAACATGCCGATTATATTATATATATATATATATATATATATATATATATATATATATATATATATATATATATATATATATTATATTGTTCGTATAAATTTAATTTAATTTTAATTGTTGCTACTACCAATTGATCATGAACAGGATTTTAGTTGTTTCCTTAAAGACATTAATGAAAGAAATGAAAATCGCCATTTTTTTAAAAATAATTATTCCCCTGTTGACCTTATTATATTAATAGCCTTTATACCTTTCCAATATATTAATAAAGTTTGTTTATGTAAACTGTTTGAAGAAAAAGATCCTTGTTTAATATGCTTCAAATTCATATTAATCAACTTATGATTTAAAAAAATAATTAAAAGTTAAAAGGTCAAAAAATAAAACTAATATTAAGAAAACTGACTACCGAAGCTCAGGTTTGTTATCTAGTTTATCTATATTGATATTTGAGATAATTTTTTCTTAAAAAAGTTGATAATTTTTTTAATCCGATTAGCTAGTTTCAGAAATGTTAAATGGTCAAATAATACAAGAATGACCCTTATAGCAGGAGTGGCGATCGGTAGGAAATCGATAAAATTATGCCAAAGACAATAATATATTTATAAGACAATAATATATTTAATATAATTATTTACCTACAACATGGATAATTAAATTATTGTACTCTGGCGTTGACATACCTCATAGTCTCAGAAAAAAAATAATGATATAGTATTTGTATAAGGACACTAATTTATTTTATGTTTGTGATTTGTTTACAGAATCGTTACGTTTGTTTCCGTTACTGGGAGTTTTAAAGAGAGGTTGTACTAAAACGTATAAGGTTAATGACAAGCTGACCATACCCAAGGGCATGGAAGTCATCCTACCTGCTCGTTCTCTTCATACAGATCCTAAATATTTCCCAGAACCAGAAAAATTCATACCGGAAAGATTTTTCGATCCAGAAACACCACAAGCTCTTTTAATGTCATTCGGTAAAGGACCAAGAATGTGTATAGGTGAGGACTCATTTTTGAATTAAAATAAAATTATTATTTACTATGTTTGATACATCAGGTTAATATAATTTTATATTAATAAATACAAATTCATTTGAAATTACAATAAAATAATTATACATCGTCAAAGATTATCCAAAACTATTTAGTCTGGTTTCGAAAGTTAATATCAAGTTGTTGCGAAAATATTCATGAACTAAAAATAATTTCTTTTTGATCAAATCAATTATGAGATTTTCTTAAGTTTTTGAAAACTCGCAAATAAGTTTTTGAAATTTGTTGTTCTTTCGTTATCATATTTTCTCAGTTAGGACTTTTATTTCAGTTGAATAAATGTTTACAAATATGGAAAGAAGACACTTTTCTATTTCCAATGAGTTCACGAACTTAAAAACGAGATTCAGAGCTTAATGCTGAAACATAATGTTGATGCTTTTGAAAATTTTGTATCTCTTCAAAACAGAAATAAAAAATATTTGTAATGTTTACTTATTACCTTAAATTTATTAATTGTTTTTCACTGACAGAACCATATTGGTTTTATTATCCGAATACGAGATATAAAATGATGTAGTCTCAGCACTTTTTTTAATTTTTCTCAACCCCTAAGGTACATTGTACAAAAGGGATAATGATTTTTCACATGTTTTCGATATAATTACAACAATCGTTGCATTAATCTTGTATTATCTAATGAGTTAATTATGCTAACAATTACAATATTGATTTATTTAATAATTCAACTATCAATGTTTCAGGAAAAAGGTTTGCATACATTGCGATGAAGATTATAATAGCGAAAATAATCTCAGAATATATAATCTTACCCGGTACTAAGACGAGGAATCCTGTGGTGTTTGACAACAGCACTTATTTCATTACCGTCCATCCAGTCGACGGGCTACATATCAAGCTAGAGAAGAGAATAAAATAAATTGCAAATGGTTGTCAGCAGTAAAACATTATTATAAAAATGCTCTTGTACAAATCAGAAAAAAATATCTACACCAAAAAGTCATTAATCCAGAATGTATTATTTTAATGTAATAAAATTATCAAATAACAAATTGCGTGAGCTTTTTATAAGTATTTCCTCTGCCCCTGAAATCATAGGCGTTCATATTGTTCTTAGACTAAAAAGACTAGAGCTGCAAACAGTTTCAGACAAATGTTAAGCACTGAATAAAATTCAATACGCTGTAACATTACTAACACAGGTCCCATTTGGAGAATTTATTTTAGTTTCGTTAGGGAATTTATTTGCCTTACAAAAAAATAGGCAAGAGTGCGTTTTTCCAAAAGAATACTTTCCTAACCTAGAGATATTATTATTATTATTATTATAGCGCTACGGTCTAATACAATACGGTCTAACGGTCTAATAGTCTTACAAGAACCCGGGACTCCTCCGCTACAGCCAACCAATCTCCACGGTCTTGTACTACTTCCTTCTATCTTCGAACGGCCAGCCGCCTCAGATCGTCCTCAACATCCTCCACCCATCTGATCCGATGACTTCTTCGAAGAGGACATCGACTACATCAACAGATGGGCAGAAATAAATGAATTAAAGCTGGATGCAGATAAAACCAAGGCTATTATCATCGGGTCCAGATATCTTATCAGCTCCCTTCCTTACATTCCTCTACTCAACCTTAACAACCATCCCATCCATTTCTTCCCTACAGTCAAAAACCTAGGAGTAACCTTTGACCAGAACCTTTCCTGGAATAACCATATCTCCCAGATTACCCGAAAATCCATAACTGCCCTTAAACAACTCCCAAGATTCTGTGATGGTATTCCTCTAAAAACCAGACAGCTCCTAGTAACCTCCCTTGTATTCCCCCACTTCGACTACGGCTATTTGGTGTCTGGAGGGCTATCTGCCAGGCTGGAAATGAGACTAAAGTGACTCATAAATTGTTTCATAAGATAAATTTTCGGGATCCCCAGGCGTTCACATGTTTCACTCTGGTACACCGAGTTGAAGTGGCTTTATCCTACTTCCCGACGACAATTCCTTCTTGGTGTTTTCCTTTTCCAAGTCTTCAGAACCAAAAACCCTCCCTACATCCTGGAACTCCTTACTCTACGCTCCTCTATCCACTCTCTGAATACTCTGAATACTGAATGTCTCAACCTATAGACTTATATATTCCCTCCTATAAAACTTCCTCCTTCAGCAAATCCTTCGTCATTCGTGCTGCTTCCTTATGGAACTCGCTTCCTACCTCTCAATCCTCGTCCACAAATTTCTTCAAACAACTCCTGTTCCAACACCTCCTCCTCATTCAAACTTCCCCTAACATGTAAAATTACTTGCATCTGTATAATGTTTAATTTCAATCTATTGCACAATTTAAATAACAATTAACAGTAAATTAGTTTGTATTTTTATCATGTCAGACTAAGACCCATTAATTTTTAACTCTGTTATTATTCTTAGGGGACAGTAGTCCCAGAATAAAATTATTTTTTCATTTCATTTCATTTCCTCTACTTCTTTTGCCGGCTGGCTTCTCATGTAGCATCGTCTTTGGCATTCTTTACACACTCCATACATCCATCTGATTCAGACTCTTTTTATCAATGCCACAATATGAGGTTCATCATAAAGTTCCCGCAGCTCCTAATTCTTTCTTCCTATCCAAATTCCATTTCCATTATTCTTCTTAATACTTGAGTGTGCGTTCTGAGTTTTTGGTTAAGGTCCAAATCCCATACCAATACATAAATACAGGCCTTACTATGGTTTTCTAGGTGGAGATTTTGAATCTTTTAGAGAGTTATCTAAATTTCAAGACTCTTTGTAATGAGAAATAGCATCTATTTCCTCCTGCTGTTCTGGCCTTTGCTATCCTGGCTTTCACTCTCTATCTTATTATTGCATGTGACCAGGCTTCCAAGGTACTTAACTGGTCAATAGACCTGAAGTTGTGATCCCTTGAAGCTATTTCTGTATTTACTTCATTTTCCATTTATGTACTTTTCATGTACACTTCCATTAACTCTTTGGCCCAGTTCATCCGCTGCTTCTTCGAATTCCTGGAAAGTTCCAGATACAGTTGCATTGGTTCTATCAATAATGGCAACATCATCGGGATATGCCAGATGTTGAGACAGACTATTGTAGATTATTACTTCTGAATTTGTTCGAATAGAACGAATAGCCTCTTCCAGGTATAGATTAAAAACAGGAGAGATAGAGAATCATCTTGTCTCAATCAATTATCAACCTCAAATTCTTCGGACAGCGAATTCGCTCGACAGGTTGTGTTCATTAGCGTAATTTTAGTAAGTCTGACCAGTTTCTTGGGTATGCCTACATCAGTCATAGATTTCTAGAGATAGGAAAGTAATAAAACTTGTGTTATTGGAAATAAAATATCGCTACTGTTAAGCATAAGGTCCTATGTAACAATTTTACATGTTTAATCTCTCTGTGCTAAAAGTGACGTTTTGTAGTCTGCAACTGTTATAAGTAGTCTGCTAACTAGAAAAACAACAGAGTGGAATAAAATATAAAACTGTACTAATAAATCACAAAGACATAATAGGTTTTTTATTATTACTATTAATCTTTATATATCAACTTCCTATTACCTACCTATTGCCCTATTATCCTTCGTATACTCCTTGTATATATTTAGCATAAATTCACGGTTTACTTTTCAATTTTAATTATTTTTATCTTACACACATCAGCTAATTATACAATTTTTATAAATATATTTATCTAATATTTGATAATATTACAATTCATTCATTGACAATAGTCTATTTGTTGTATATTTACTCCATTTTCAGTAATTTTCAATAAAATTTACCAGTTTCACCTAACTTTTTCATATAGTCACGCTTTCATTCCGATATGTTAACCTTGTTTATAAACACCAATACTTTTCACGTAAATGTCTTTAAAATATAAAGAATATTAAAAATTAACACTAAATCTTAGGGTATTATTATAAATAACAGCTAAAATATACACCATTTTTTATACTTTATAAAAGAAATTTATTATTTCTGTAATAATTGTCTCCTAATAGTAGAGTCTAATACAGCCATAAACTAAAATTCAATACCCTAACACTAATTTCACAAAAAATAAACGATGTAATAAACAATTTTAAGAAATTCGCTATGTGCGTAATATAATTATATAAAGTATTTACATAACTACAGTAACTCAAAATTGTCCAAATGTGAAATTTCTTGAGCCCCTACATAGTATTACTAGAAAAAATATGTATTTTTTCAAATAATAAACAAGATAAAACATAAAATGGTGTAATACAAAAAGTAGAAAGATTACTATTAGGTTATAATATTTGGAGTATGTAGCAGGTGGAACCCAATGATAAAATAAAGCATATGGGGAGTTTAATGTTAGGTTATAATCAGTAAACAAGAAATGCCGATTCTAGGCAGGGATGGGCAAATGCTACTCTAGAGCACCAAGTATTGTACTCAACATTTTTTTAAACTTATTTATTGAAAATATTACAATCTGTCTCAAAGGATATTTATAATAGTGTTAAGAGATCACCTTCACACTCTATGTACAGTAAATAAAATATATTATACAGAAACATAATATAAATACAATAAATAAGAATAAAATAACCTAAAAATAAATAAATAAAAAGAACACCACCTATATACAATATTTACAATCTGGCGAGAGAACTCCGAGCCAGACTTCTCCCTTCAACTGAGGAGGGAAAAGCATGATTCCAGAAGATCCTTGCGCTTCTCTTTCAAACGCGTCACTGGGGCTTAACTCAGTGGACATTGAGCGAGAGTGCTTTAACCACATACACCAGAGTTGGGCAAAAATTAACTGTAGCTAACAGCTAAATTAGCTGTTAGCGGGCAGATAATTCTGCAACTAAATTAGCTTTTAGCGGAACCAAGAAAATAACTTTTAACTTAAGTTAATTATTAGCTTTTCTCATAGCTAACAGCTAATTAGCTTTATCTGTAACTTCAACTAAAAGCTAACAACTAACTCTTCGGATTTAATTGATCTTAGAGTCGACTGTCATGTTTTTGGGGCACTTTTTATGAAAATACTGTCGGATGTTAGATCTTGCCCCCGGGCACCGACTTTTTGTAACTTTTAGGATTTAATCCATATCAGGGTCGACAATTAGGTTTTGAGGGGCTATTTTAATCCGACATTATTTTCATTAAAAGCGCCCCCCAAAACCTAATAGTTGATATCGATGAAATCCAAAAACTTTCAAAAAGATGCTGTAGGAGGGAGGGCGGGAAAATATAAATCCGATAGAATTTTCATAAATAGTACCCCTATTACATTACGGTCGATCCTAATATCAATTAATGAAATGAAATAAATAAATTTTCTTCTAGTGTTAGCGTTAAATTAGCTTTTAATTAAGTTAACAGTTAATTTAGCTTAAGCTATAAGTTAGCTGTTTGTTTCCGCTAATAGCTAATTTAGCTGTAAAGTTAACTGCGCTAAAACAGTTAGTAGCTAAATTAGGTTCATATTTAGCGCCACTAATTTTAGCTTTTTAGCTGAACGTTAGCTAGTTAAAATTAGTTCACTAACGCCAAACTCTGACATACAATCATGTCGTGAGTGGAGAATCTGGCCATTGCCAGAACTCGAATATTTACAAACTATAAAAGGTCGCGGGACCTCTGCCGTTTTAACCTACTTGGAGGATTATAAGGATGGGTGATGATGGATAGGGATTGTGCAAAGGGATTTGGATGGTAGGTAAGGTTCTGGTGAAATTTGGAGAATTTTGCTGGGATAAGGTCTACGGTAAATGGGATATTAAGGTCATGGTGTAGAGTTTTGTTGGTTACATAGAAAGGAGCACCGACTATTGTTCGAAGGACTTTGGTTTGGAAGGATTGGATGCGTTTGGTGTTAGAAAATTTTTCTGTTTAAATCCGTAAGTCCAAGTAGGTTTCAGTATTGTCTTGTAAATAAGTATTTTATTTTCAATAGAGTGTTTAGATTTTCTATTTAGTAGTATGTATAGTCGTCGATTAAGTTCTTGTCTTTCAAGTATTGTATGAGGGTTC